AAAAAAAAAAAAAAAAAAAAAAAAAGAATTGGCAATGAGCGCCGAAGTTGTTGCAGACTGTCGGTTTGACTGCTGAGGAGGACGTGAGTGGGAGAGAGAGAGCGCTGTTGCACACACAAAACCACAGAGAGAACCCACAATTTAACCAACATCCCCAACCCCAAGTTTTCAGCTGTTGGACCTCTCAGCCCCGGCGCTCGCGATCGGCTGCGACCTTTCTTTAAACTGACGAAAGGCGTTCTACCAAAGACAGAGAGATCTGAAGCTTGAATGCCATGCACTGAGCTTTTCTTTTCATTTTTTCTCTCTTTTTTTTTCTTTTTGCGCAAGAATGATTGAAAGGTCATGACACGAGCGCTCTTAGAGCAACGCCAACCAAACTACTGAAGCTCATTTTCAAGGCTGCTTAAAAAAAAAAAAAAATAGAAGAAGAAATCTGGCGGAGAGCATTAATGGATTCCTGTTGTGTTTAAATTCTCCACAGATTCTATTGTAAATATTTGATGAGGTCCGGTAGATGTGTGTGTGCATGAGTGTGTGGACGTGAATTTCTACCCACAGTTGTAGCCAGCTGACCTTTGATCAGCAAGCCGAGCTCGCGATCCGCCTCCTCGGAAGAACAACCCCGAATTTCTCTCAAAGAGCGATTTTTGCCTCCGGAAGACGCCGGTGCCTTTTGGTTTCTCTTGGGACCAGAGAGAAATCACCTGGAAGAAACTGCGAAGCGCGGGGTGTCTCTGACCGTGTCTCGTACTTGCCACCCTCCCTTTTATTCTTTTTTTTCTGGGAGTTTGGGATGAGTTTTGTCCCCGCTAACTTTCCGCGCTGCGGCCGCGGACTCGATGCGCGGTAAAGCCGCGCCCGGACGACCCCTCGCGCTTATCGGATTAACGGGATCTGTTCCGCCTCGCCAGGAAGCCAAGAGTTAAGGCTCGGCGTGCTCGCTATCAGCAAAAAAATTAACTCGGGGGACTGGCGTAGGAACAAGTTTCCCGCGGGTGCTCAGCCCGCGCCCGTTTATGTTGGTCCCCGGAGAGCGGCTCGCTGAAGAGTTGCGCTCGTCCGGCTGTTTTGTAGAAACTCTGTGGAGGTCTGTGGCTCACCAGGCTTGTTGTGATGCGTATCCCCGTAGATACCAGCACCAGCCGCCGCTTCACGCCGCCCTCCACCACGCTGAGCCCGGGGAAGATGAGCGAGCCGCTGCCGCTGCCCGGCGCCGAGCACAGCGGGGCTTTGCCGGGGAAGCTGCGCAGCGCCGACCGCAGCATGGTGGAGGTCCTGGCGGATCACCCCGGGGAGCTGGTGCGCACCGACAGCCCCAACTTCCTCTGCTCCGTGCTGCCCACCCACTGGCGCTGCAACAAGACGCTGCCCATCGCCTTCAAGGTAGGTCCGAGCGCCGCGGGCAGAGCGGGTGGGGACGGGGCGAAAAATGGGGCGAGGATGCACGGGGGGCAAGGATGGGGGGCTCGGACCGGCAGCCGGCTGCCTCCGCGCTTCCCTCCTTCCATCCTTTCCGCTGCTCCTTCCATCCTTCCCATCCTTCTTTCCATCCTTCCATCCACCCTTCCCATCCTTCTTTCCGCGCCCGCGTGGGAAGTATCCTGGCCGCGCTCCGGCCAGCAGCGAGCCGTGGCAGCCGGGGAATGCCATGGGATGGGAGAGCTCCCCGCAGCCTCTGCYTGCTTCTTCTCCCCATTCATAACTCTGCGCAAGGGGRRAAAAAAATAAAAAAGAGCKCCAGCCCCGCGGAGTTCGGCTGCGCTGGGGAGCAGATGTCGCAGATGGATGCGGGCGGCCCGGAACTGAGGGAGCTCCGGGATCCCCCAGAAGTCGCCCCCGGCGGTGGCGGGTCCCTCTGTACCCGCTGCCACCCACGGGGGACACCCGCCCGCAGCCCGGGCCCCGCTCGGGAGGTGCCGGCTTCCCCCTGCCAGGGATTCTTCGGGGGGAGAAAACACCACAAAACAACCCAGCCACAATCAAAAAAACACATTTCCTCTTTTCATGGATGGTTTTAATAACAGCAAAAGTCGCGGCCTAACCCGGGCAGACCGCTTGGAGTTCCCCCGTTTCCAGAGTTCCTCGCTGAATCCACGTAAAATCCGGGGAAAAGATGGGGAGGAGGGAATGGGAGAGCAGATCGCGGCTGCCTCCTGTCACGGGCCGCCGGGACCCTGCCGAGCGGTGCGGGGGATGCTTCTCGTGCTTTCCTCCCTTCCCGTTACGCKGCTTCCAGGAAAATCATCCTCCCCTTGGAGTAAAATTATCCTCCCCTTGCTCACGCTCTGTTTTTGACTCGGGACTGTCGCTGACTCCCTGAGCTCGCTGCTGCCGCTGCTGCTGTAGATTGGCTCCCGAGCGAGGGAAGGGAAAGGGAATTATTGTCGTTATCCTTTTATCCGAGACGGGAGCCGCACAGACACGTAGCTACTGGGGAGCCCCGGGCTCTGGTTTAGGATCGGGATTTGTCAAGTCCGGGCTTTCTTTTGCGGTCACTGCTGAACTCCGGCTGCTTCAGCGCAACTTTTTTTTTTTTTTTTTTTTTTTTTTTTTTTTTGTCTTGGAGACCACCGGGCTCGAGTCTTTCTGAGGGTTTTTGGGAGAGGAGAAAAGAGGGAGAAGAAAATCAGCTCAGCTTTGGGAAATCCTGCTGACGAAGTGGCTTTAGGGAAAAGTTTTATGRTGTCTGGTCTCCTTGTTTTACGCAGATAAGAGCCGGGCAAAGGGAGGAACTGATCGGCGGGGTCACTTCCTAAATTCGCACATTTAGATTAATTATTACACTCTTACCCACGCACCAGGACTGCTGGTAATTACCCGCCAAGTTTTCCTCCTGGAAGGCAAAAGTCCGGCGGTGAAACCCGCTCCGCCCCGCCGGGATGGGAGATAAGAGGAATCCCGGTTTTTCCTAAGGGATCCCAGTGCCGGTCACCTCCCGGCGTGGCGGAGGAGGGACAGGAGAGGCGGCTYTTCCCTCTGCTGCCCGATAACGCTCCCACTCTCCTCCCTGGAACCTGGGAATGCCCTGATGATGTGGGAATTGCCCCTGGAAACAAATCCAGGGGGTTTCATAGATGCCCGCAGCCGCTTTCCCTCCTCTGTCCCCGCCRCAGCCTCTGGGGTTCACCCCGCTCCCGGCGCAGGCTCTCCAGGAGTTTGGAACATCGGGATAATTTAATCTGAAAATATCCATGAGAAAAAAAAATAATCCAGTCGGCCCTAAAAGYAGGAAAAGATTTCATTAGGAGACGCTGGAAGGGTGGGCTGGGAGGCACCTGCTTGCCAGGGTGCTCGGTGTTCCTCATCCTCATCCTCATCCCCCATATTCTCTCCTCACAGAGTGCTGAGAAATGAATCCTGAATTAATTGGCCTCATCTAAACCAGCCTCATTGTTTTCCTACTAAATATTAAGAATTTGCAAAGGCTTTTTTTAAAAAATCGGGATTTTTCAGGTCATTTGGCCCAGGAGGAAAAAAAATTCAGCTCATTTCCTCTGCTGCCAATATTTTATTTGCATCTGACAAAAAGCACTGAGTTTTACCAACTATTAACAATCACTGTCTGAATAAAAAGGGAGAGACTGAGAGTTTTCTCCTCACATTTAGAAACATCCACTCATGATGTTTGATCTGCAGGATCGGGCTATCATTTCAAACCAAAATGATCAATTTTCATTGTTTTCTCCTAAATGAAAGAACGATTCTGAGAAACTTAGAAAATAAGACATAGCAACTAAGAAGGGACCACATAAATTCATTGTCCAAGTGTGCTGTTATGAACGTAAATCTGAATTTAAAAGGCTAATTTGGGTTAATTGATGCAGGAGAAGTAAATTTGGATACCCCACAGTGCTACATCCCTGATTCTCTCCTTGCTTCTCTGGAAATACAAAGTTTTAGAGGTGAAAAGTACAACAAAGTCCTTGATAACTCCACTAACAAGCCCCGACTTATCTGTTTAGTCTTTTTGCTAATGTAAATATTTGTATTTCTGCTGCTATTGTCTGCACTTTCAAGTCCAGTTTCTTTTCTGGGCTGGGTCAGTTTTAGACTTGTTCCTGAGATTTTCTTCCCGTTTTTTATCGTCGAGGTTGCCTCTGGTGAGATTTGAAAGCTTTAAAATATTTTCTGTCAGAGGCAACTGGCCCTGTATCCATGTAAAACTTCAGGAAAGCTTAAAATCCTGGCATAAATTCTCTTAAATGAAGTATTTGCATGGCAGGGTAATGCCCTGATTTTCCCTTTTCCCATTTTTTCCCTATTAGATGTGGATTCATTAAGGTTTTGCAGGAATTTTAAAGAACTGGCTGCGTAGTTGCTAATTTTGTGAAATTTCCAAGCTGCAGCCTTTCAAGCCGGGCCTCATTTCTGCCAAAATCAGGGAAATTTGAAAAGCTGAGCAGAGACCAGGCSCAAAAACCGAATTACAGCAGAGAGAGGAGAACAAAAACCCCAAATTCAGAGCCAGGGAGGAACGGGGAAAGAGGAACTTGAAATAGAGATGTAAAGAGGGAATTTTGACCCCGAGATTTGCATGTGGAAGTGAAAATCGAGGTTAGGGGTGACCGAAGGGAGAGCACAGAAATTAAAAGCYCAGCCTCCTGTGGAAGGAAAATCTGGAAAATACCTGAAACTGGGGAATTCTCTCACATTTTGGGAGGTGGCTGTGGCTGGGGAATAAAAATCAGGGATGAATCAAGTAAAGGAGCTGCTGATCCTGTTTTTGAAGAGCAAACAGATCAGAAACTGAGAGAAATGAAATCAGGTTGTGACAAACTTCAGCCGATTGCAACCGCCTGGACTGAAGTCAGAAAATGTTAAGAGGAAGGAAAAATATCGAGCTGCAACTCGGAGGACGCAGTGCAGGGCTGGTTCCTCTTCCAGAGGGCAAAAGAGGAATTAAAAACAAGCTGGATTTTTTTTCTCTGGGTTTGTTTTTTTTTTTTGGGGGGGGGGGGGAGTTTTTCTTTTTGGTGATAGTGTTGAGCTCACTGCTAGAGCATTGGGGAAACAGTAAATGGCTCTAAAGTGAATCAGACAAAATAATTCAAGCTCTGATTTTTGCAGGGACATCCCAGATCCCCATGGAATCYCAGCAGGTTGATTTGTTTGGGGAATTCAAGAAGATACAATAAAAATTAAATTTTTCCTCATTTAACTAGCGCAAACAGTGTAGATATAAAACAGAATATTTCAGATTAGAAATCTTTTTATCTCTTATCAAAACCCCAGCGAATCCTGTGTTCCCAAATATTTGATGGATGCTGCCCCGAGGAGCTACAGCACMAATATTTTGGGGAAAGGGTAAAACTTTTGGTAGATTTCCTTAGTTCAGGTCATTATTTCCATCCATCCACTTGAGGGTGAGGTCTGAAAATTATTTGCTTTATGCTCCCAAAGGAAAAAAAGGAATTGTTCTGTAAATTGGGATTAAACATTTGATTGGGGCCTGATTTTCCACGGCCTTGCTCTGGATTTCTGCTTGGGCAGCTCCGTTAAGAGCTGCTGACATAAATTAAACCATCGAGTGCTACTACTTCAATTTATTTATTGACAGTTACAGAAGTGGATTTTGGAAAGCTCCTTTTGTGTGTTTTTTACCTCAGAGCAGCGTATTTTTCATTTCACATCACGCCGGGTGTTTCGGAGGTGCATCGGCGGAAAAAATTTTCTGTGCAATCATTAAGAAAAATCAGGTTTGAAATTATAGAAATCCCTGACGAGGAGTGAAAAAGATGCACTTTAAATAATGRAAGTTATAGGAATATAATGATATTTAAAATTATCACTATGATGATATTTTAAAATCTTTGGTTTTCCAGGAAATGGGGAGGAGAATTTTTGTCTAGATTGGAAAACATTTTTGCACAGTAACAGTTCAACCACCGCGACACGATTGAGCAGCAGGTGTACATGGAATTTGTCTATTCAGAGCTCAAATTCTCTAATCAAATTCAGATTCTTGATTAAAGAATAATGGAAGGGACAACATTTTTGGGAAGATGAGGATTTCCATTCCAGCAAAACAGGAATGGAGATGATTCAAATAGGAATGGAGATGATTCCCATCTCCTCCAACACCTGCTTGAGCTATCTAAACTTTCCCCGTGGATTCTTCTCGCTGTTTTTTTCCCTGCTACTCTCTGATCCTCTGCACCCCATGCAGGAAGCTGAGGGTTGTGCTCCTCGCTGTTTCAGGTGGTGGCCCTGGGGGATGTCCCTGATGGGACCCTGGTGACGGTGATGGCCGGCAATGACGAGAATTACTCGGCGGAGCTGCGCAACGCCACGGCCGCCATGAAGAACCAGGTGGCGCGTTTCAACGACCTGCGCTTCGTGGGCAGGAGCGGCCGAGGTACGGGGGCTGCAGCTGCTCTGGGGGTCTGCTCTGCTCCTGGAGGTGGGGCTGGGGGGTTTCTCCACCAGGGAATGCTCTGGGATGTGGTGGAGGTCATCCGTTCCAAATTCACAGGATGGGTTTTCCTCATTTCTTCCCAACCCCTTTTCTGCATTACTCCGATATTGAAGCGGTGAAATCTCAGGTGAAAATTATAAAAACCATGCAGAGAGTGACATTTGTGACTCTGGTAGCCGCCCCTGCTAATTCAGGCAGCATGGTATTACCTGTGGTTAAGTTCAAGTGGCCCATTTTCAATTTAAAACAACAATTTTCAGCTTGCGTAGAGGCTCATGGTCATCTCGGGGCTCTCCAGCACTCGCAAAATCTCTGCAAGCCGAAAGTACAAATAAATAATTCCCGCACAGATCTAAAAATTTGGCAGGTTCCTGAGCTGCTGAAGGCTCTTTTTCTGACCTTTTTTTCTCTCAAAATGCGACAGTCCTGGCACTTAATGTCTCCTTCAACGTGGATGGGAGAAACCAGGTAGGAGAGAGGGGTTTAAAATTGGATTTACTGGATCTCTGCCATAACCAGTAATTACTGGTGTGTAAATAAAAAGGCTTTTGGAGCATGAATAACAAAGAAGAGTTGAAGTTGAATTAGATGGGAGTATATAAAAACGTTTTTGGGAAGCTCCTGAGGCGTTGCCCATGAGTGGGCAGGTGCACAAAGCTTCATCCCAAAAAAATCCGCAGAAGGACCCTGTAAAACTTCATTCCTTAACATTAAATCTCATAAATCCCAAGCCACCATCCCATTAGTTTATTTTAAAAGCTTCCCTTGTCGCTGTGAGGGGACTTCAGGGAGGTTCAGTCAAACCCCCAAAGAGCAGCCAGCGAGTTGCTGCTCAGGAAAAGTGCAGGAGAAGGAGCCGCCTCTGCCTTTTATGGCCAAGGATGAAAACCTTTCCCAGTTCCTATGTGAATTCATGCAACATTTTATTGTGGTTTTTTCTGTTTGTCTTTGAAATTGGAATGGGGCATTCCAGCATTACTCAGGGACAATGCAGTGASAGGACAGTGTCTCCTGCACTCCAGGAGGTTTCTTTTTGGAGCAGTTTTGCWCTGGTGTCCCTCAGAACCTGGGATTGCTGATCTTTCCTCCCCATTTCCCTGTCCCTCTGTGTCCTGTGCCACCCCAGCCGTGTCCTGGTTCCACACAGATTCCTGACCGTGCTCCAGGACATCCCGAAGCTGACCCACTTGTGGGTTTTATTCCAAAGGGGAGATGTGTCAGGCTGCAGAGCGAGGAAGTTCTGCTGATTACACCCAACAGCCTCTGTGTGCCTTTGAAGTGAAAAGCACCCGTGGGTGCCCTTCCAACACAAACACGGGCACAGCGCCGTGAAAACACGGCCCCGCCGGAGCGGCGAACACATTTTAGGGATAAAATCCTGCTCTGGTTTTCCTCTGGGTGCTGCAGCAGCTTTAGCTGAGGGTACAGAGGCAGCTGCCTCTCAAATTGTGTTGTTTGGGCCGTCTTCAAATGTGCTCGGTACAAAACACCCGCAGCCGAGAACGTCGCCTCGTAATGCCAGYGAGGAATAATAATAGGGTGATGCAGAGAAAATTATATCCATTTACTGAAAACATGAGAGATGCTGTAATGTCTAAAAGTATCAGTCATTAAACGTGGTCATTTGGTGTATTAAAGGTACCACCTTTTCAGTAAATGGAATTTGCATTATGATTCAGAGCTGACTGTTTAGAGGATTCAAATGAATAGCTGGCAGAGGGCTGGAGAAGCTCATAAAAACAAACCTGTACTTCAGTTCCTGGCCTTGGGAATGAAGCTGGGAATCAGAACTGAGAGCTGGGGGAGCTTCAAGGTCCAAATCCAGCAGCTGGGACCAGATAGGCCCCATTTACTGGGAAAAGCGAGCCCCTTGCGCCGCTCCGGTAGCCAGTCACTCCCAGGGTGTCCCGGGTGTGACATCCAGCTGCCGGGGATCCTTTAAGTGGAGAATTCGGGAATGCTGCGTGCTATTAGTCAGGTTAAACATCCTCACCTGCCCGTGCTGCCCATCTTTGGGGCGGGTGACTAATGSATGCTTTTGTTTACTCCTCCGCCGGGGGATTGTTTTCCAAAGGCGGGGACTGTTTGCCTTTGTGCGGGATCTCGGAGCTGCTGTTCTGTGGGATTGGGAYGGAGCCTGCAGCGTGAGGTGGCCGCTTCAAAGGGCACTGCTGCCTTTGATACATCGCTGCAGGAAAATGAGCCCGAACTTTGTTTGCCGTGGAATATTTGAGCTGGGAGAAGTTCAGTGCCACCGCTGATAATGCCGTGCCAGGGGCGTTGTGCGAGCAGGGACCGAGAGTTCGCGTTGGTTCAGGGCACAGGGGAGGCTCCTTGCATCCATCAGGGGGTTGAAAATCCCAGTTTTAAATCCCCGATGGAGAATCAGGAGTGGCTGTGACCGAGGTGTAGCCACCCCTGCTAAAATCCCCTCAGCACCCACAGCTCTGTCCTTTCCAAGGAGGAAACTCCCATTCTTGATGCTCTTAATAAATAATTTCAATTTCCTTCTGTGAAATCCAGCCAGACAGCCTGTGTCCAACATTATTTTCCATGTTTTCCTCCCACTTGTGGGAGGGTCACAAGGAGTATCCCTGATCAATATTTGACACCGAATATCAGCCAAACTTTCAGCCTCGTTTCATGTCCAGCACCCAGAGGCTGCCCYATGCTCCTCAGCTTTGTTTAGAATTAAAAACCCCAAAATATTTTATTTTCTTCATTCTCAGAATAGGAGCAACACTGTCACAGGTCACCCGAAGCCTGGAGCTGTGGTAGGAAAGCAATTTGGCTCCTTTTCCTCAATAAAACAGATTTCCATTGGATTTGGCCGGKATCCAGGGCTCCTGTTCCTCAGCCCAGTTGGAGAATGCTACTGGGCAAACCTGCCCGTCTGGCTGGGGAGCCCCACCAAGACATTTCTGAAAGAAAAACGTCCTTTTGAAACTTCAGCCAACCTCAGCCTGCCCCCTCGGCCTGATTACCTGCTTAAAACAAAATTAATCTTGATTTTTTTCACCCTCCGTTTGTGAACGTTCCGAGCTTCCAACCGCTCCTGCTGCAGCGTTTCCCTGTTTTTTTAGTGGATAATGAACCAATTGAGGTCACTCTGATGAAATGGACCTGATGTAAAAAGCCTGCCACCGTGCAAGTTCATTGGCTAAAATGAAAAACAAATAGTTATTTTGGAGAGGGAAAGCTCTGTGGCGTGGGGAACATGGCATATTTTCCTCATGGAATCACTAATCCCGGTTCCTATCTCCTCGGTAGGACGTAAGATTCCAAAAATCCCAACAAATAAACATGTTTTCCAGATGAAAATGATTATTAATGGTTTATCCTAAGAGGAGCTAATGGAGAAGTGTCTTGGCTTGCTGCGGGAGATCTCAATCTAAACCTAAGAGCTGGAGCTGCAGCATGGTTTTAAAAACTGCATCTCGGAAAGGATGGAAAGTTAAATCCGTGCGTACATTTCCTCAGGATCCGAGGAATGAGTAAATTTTGTGGCGTTTTTCCGTTTTCACAGAGCCAAAGCAGGTGTAGCTTTGTAGGGGAACACGAGAGATTTTACCAAGTGCAATTTTTCCATCAGGTCTCTTTCTTCCAGGTATAATTCTCAAGGAAAAAAACATTCACTTTAAGACAAAATCTCAAAAATACTCAAACTCCAAAAATCACTGTCCAGGATTCCAAATCCAATTATTTTTATCGGCATTCCCAAGCTGGAATTTTGCTCCTTCTGTGCAGCCTCGTTTTGTGGCTGCGTTATTYGAGCACTTGGTTGAAATTGATTTTATTTTTTTGACTTAAATGCACTCAGAATTACAAAAATATGTGCAAAACAGAGGATGCAGGGTCGTAAAAGCAGTATTAAGCAGGCGTCCAGGTTCTGATCCAAGCCTTTGGAATGCTGCAGGGGACGTGGGATCAGATACTGGAGSCACAATAAGCGGAGTTTGCCAGATGGGATGAAAACAGAAAAAAAATTTGAAGGCAATCAACTGGGGAAAAGGGTCAATTGAGAGTTTAAAACAAAATATTTATTTAGAGTTTTGATTGATAAGGGTGTGGCATTTAAAGGATGGCACAGCCAGCCGAAGGGAGGTTTGGCTGCAGGGAGGTGGGAATTTTCTTTGGATACGGGGAAGGAAYTGTTCCCTGGGAAGGTGGTGAGGGACTGGAATGRATTTCCCAGAGAAGCTGTGGCTGCCCCTGGATCCCTTTGAGTGCCCAAGGCCAGGCTGGACATTGGGGCTGGGAGCAGCCTGGGACAGTGGGAGGAAGCACAAGATGATCTTTAATGCTCCTCCCAACCCAAACCATTCTGTGATTTTCTKGTTCAGTGGAAGAAAGGGGCTGTGCCCAGGGCATGAGTTAGATGCTCAACTTCCCTGATAAGGACTCTTCTCCCTCCATTCTGCTCTGAATGGTGAATTTTCCCCTAAAAAGTAGAGGCCAGGAGTGGTCATTTTATTTTTAATCGAGGAAGGGWGGCTTGGTTGTGTCGTTAACCTGAGCCGAGATTTCTGTGCAATCCCAGTGAGGCTGAGCAGCAAACCCAGCCCTCCAAGRGGATGGAAACTCAGCAGAGATGCAAAGGAAGGAGGAGAGGAAGGGAAAATCCTTTCCCTGTACCCGAGGTGCCTTGGGCTCACTCCAAGCAGCCAAATTTGTGAATCCTTGATTTTGGAATTAACCCCATGGATGATGATGCTCCTCACAGGGGCTGGACTCCAAAAAACCATTCTGTGGGATGGGGCTGGGTCCCTCAAAGGGCTTGGGAAACCTCAGCAGGGATGCACAGGTGAGAGGAGAGGAGAGGAGAGGAGAGGAGAGGAGAGGAGAGGAGAGGAGAGGAGAGGACAGGACAGGACAGGACAGGACAGGACAGGACAGGACAGGACAGGACAGGACAGGACAGGACAGGACAGGAAAATCCTTTCTCACTGTCCGAGGTGCCTTGGGCAGCCAAATTCGTGAATCCTTGATTTTGGAATGAACCCCATGGATGATGCTGCTCCTCACACGGGTTGAACTCCCAAAACCCATCCTGTGGGATGGGKTTGGGCATGCCTGCCAGCAGCTCCKCCAGCTCCCCAAAAACCCCTCTCTGCTGCCTTCTTGACCATTTCATCGGGGCAAAAAASCTCCCTCTCTGAACGCGTCAACAGGAGAAAAATAATGGCAGAGGGCTCRGAGAACTTCCTGTCTCCGGGAGCATTCCTGCTGTAAACAGTGGCCATGCCAAGTGCTGAACCACTGCCCTCACTCCAATAACAATAAATCTATTTTTTGGTTCTGCACAGCTCCGCTCGGACATTTTTGCAGCGGCGAGGATGAGGCAGACGCCGTCCTCAGAATGTTTTCCCGTTTGTTTTTTTTTTCCCCAGCATAAAAGCACTTCCCAGAATGTTGTTTAGGGAAGACAAAGTACCTCTCTAGATGCAAAGGTTACATAGTTTTGAGAGATCTGTTTGCCCTGCAGCTTTTTTCTTGTTGKTTTGATGTTGTTTTCTTTTTTTAAAAGATTTGTTTTTATTTTGCTGTTTGTATTTTGGTGCCACCCCTCAGAACTGGGGGCATCTTGGTTGAAATATCCTGATTTTTGGGTGTACTTCTCTATGTGTGTCCCCACACCCCAAGTCAAATCAGAGCAGCTATTTTGTCACCAAAATAAAATCCTGCTGGGAGATAAATCAGGCTCAGGGCTGGCCAGAGAACTTGAGCAGGAGTGAGGATGCTGCAAATCAGCCACTCACAATCGCTGTCAAGAGAGTCTTTTCCAGCACAGTCATGTGCATAAACCCTCATCCGGCTGAATCAGCCTCTGTTCCCTTCCAAAAACCCTTTAGGAGCAGGAACAAAGATTTAAAATAGACTTTTAAATTTTTTCTATTACTTTAATGCTGTGTCTCTCCACCTTTTTTGCCCCCATCCTGCTTCCCCAATGATTTCCCCACCATATTATTTCCACACGGTTTTCAGTCTCTCCAAATTCTTACTCCCTTCATCTCTGCCCCTTTTCCTCCCTCTCTTGCTGATATTCCTGGAGGGCTGCAGCCTCTGGGCACAGAGTGGGAATTCTGTGCRAGCTTTCAGCAAGGTTGGGACTGGAAAAAGGATGCAAGGAGCAATCCTAAATTCTGAAGCAATCCTAAATTGCCTTTTCCTKCTGTACCTGAGGAGCGGGGAGGGAGAGGGAGGAGGTTCTGGAGAGGGCAGGAGGAGGGGAGCAGCCGCCTGGAGGGCTCAGTGCCACCAGAACTCTCCAGCGAGGCGGTGCTTGGAGCTCCGGGAACTGAAGTTTAGGGAGGAACCGAAGGAAAAGCTTTGGTGAAGTCACGAACTTTCCGCAGCTGGGTTGGATGCACAAAGCCCCATCCACGGAGCTGTCGGTGCCTCTGAGGGCTGTCTTGGGMAGCTTCCAGGCTGCTAATGGCAGGGTTATCCCCTCTCCTGGGTACCCATGAGGTGACCCCGGCTCTGTTCCCAGCCTCGAATCGATGGGATGGCAGCACAGAGCCTTTTCTCCAGTAGCTCTGAGGGAGCAGCCCCAGGGCACCCCCGTGCTCGGGGAGCTGCTGGAGGAAGGAATTGTCAGGTTGGGATGGTTCAGCCTTAGCCACTGCCTCGGCACTGATGGGATAAAGGTGCTCCGTGCCTTTCCTGGGCAGAGCAGGGCGTTGCTCTTCCAGGGAATCCACACCTTCCCCGCTCCCTGGAGCCATGCCCAGGTCACYGGAGCGGTGTTTGCTCCCAGCTCCTTCCCTGTGCCACGGCGCTGAGGGATGGAATCAGGGAATGGTTTGGGAAGAAAGGGTCCTCAAAGGTCACCTCATCCCACCCTTGCCATGGCAGGGACACCTCCCACTGTCCCAGGCTGCTCCCAGCCCCAATGTCCAGCCTGGCCTTGGGCACTCAAAGGGATCCAGGGGCAGCCACAGCTTCACAGGGCCTCCCCACTCTCCCAGGGAACAATTCCTGCCCAGTCTCCCATCCAGCTTTACTCTGCATAAATTTGAAGCCACTCCCGGTTTCCTGTCCCTTGAAAATCTCTTGGATTTCCACATCCCTTGGAAATTGTCTCTCTCCATTCCTTGGAGAAGAGCAGCAGCTTCCAAGCCAAGGAGAGGGGACAGAGGGTTCACACATGGCCAACTGACTCCTCTGAGGGTCTGGGCTTGAGGAGGACTTGGGGCTGTTTTTTGGGAGAAGCCCTCCCGGACTGGGGGAATGGAAGGTGTCAGAGGTGCAGTTTTTGACTCAGGCATTTAAATCCAGCCTGAATCCCACTAAATCCGCTTGTGAACCTGGGCCTGGACCTTTTCATGGCTCTGTCATCCCCATAAAGTCTGGGTGAATAATTTCTACCTCAAAAGCCTTTTGAATGGTCTGAAATTACAGCTGGGCTCAGGGCTATTATTAGGCTTAGGGATCCCAGGGAATTTCCAGCAGAAGGTGGGGGCGGCTTTGCACTGGAGCCCTTTCACCCTGAACTGTCCTTTCCACCTGCTGGCCCTGTTTTTGCCTCTCCCTGAGCTCCCCAGCGGTGACACAGCACTCTAGACAGCTTCTGGGTAGAGCTGGATGCACTTGGTGGAGGCCAAGTCATTTCTGAGAGCTCCACAAACAGCC